AACAAGACACTAAACTAGGTTTACGTAGGTCGATCGTACATTACGACAACCTAGTACTAGTAAGTAGTTAAACGTATTATTATCTATATTATAGTGATTCAATATATATATATATATATATATATATTGTAATACATGGTTATTGAAATGTCATTGTATTTGACTAAATACTAGGATGATAGTTACACATTTGTACTTTATAGGATTGTTTTACTATATAATCATAAATCAAAATAGGAATATGGCTTGTAACAGAGCCACAGACAGATTAAAGAAAGAGAAGAGCCCCCCTTCCCCGATGGGTACCATCCGTATAGAAATAAAGCTTAGCCATAAGCTAAGCTGAGGAGAAGAATCTCAAAGCAGACATCACATGTTGGTGAAGTCTGGAAAACATGTAAGGTTTCAAAGTCTCCTGACTGATTCAAGTTCAAGCAAGGTGAAATTCATTAGGTAAGGACTGCAAAGTGCAATATATTTTCAGTCAGCCCCCAAAAAATATCAACTTGAATGGCAATGTACAAAAATATGAAGATATCTGGGTAATAAAATTCTTACAGAAACAAGGAGGTACCATGAATAAGTCAAAGGTGTTTGTGCTGAACTGCTAGCAAGCAAAAAAACACAAAGTCCCCCGTGTCTTAACCAATGGAAATAATTTAATTTTAAGAACTCTGTAACAATCCAAAATAAAGGGTTCAGACCCATCGTTAGATTCTACAATCTCAGCCAGATAAGAAGATACTCCAGAAAAGGACTATGTAACAAATCTCATATCAACCTCCAGACTATTGATGGAAGACAAAACTGTAGAAATCAAATGTTACACCTCTCATACTGAGAAGGTATAATGATCCTTTGAATGAGGAACTTCACCAATGACAAAATTAAGTCCCAGAAATTCAGGTAATCAGTACGTCAAAGTCAAAAATAGCAAGTTCTGAATTCATAAAAAGCAAAATAAAATAAGATACACACATCTGAAATTAAATATTGATGGAAGACTCTTCACTCTAAAAAGAAGACAACAAAATAAAATGAAAGTAGAACAATGAGTCAAAAAATAAAAACCATGGTGCTAACTGCTACAAAATATAGGGAGCTTGCACTAAGTAAACAAAAATGCAAGTTAACTATCTGAAGTACCAAGAGAAAATGTAACTATAGAAGGTATTATGAAAGCCATCTAAAAGCCAGGGATAGGTGTGAACTGATGATTGACTAACACATAAATTTAATTGTTGACAAAATCATAGCAACTGTAACAACAGTATTTGAATGAAACATTCACACACAACTGAGGTAGGTTATTCAAAAATGTAATTAAAATTTCAGATTCTATCAAAATGTTACAGATAGGTTAGGAACAATGTAATAATTTATGTAGATCAAAGAAATTTTTAAGTACTTTAACAAAATATTTCAAAAGAAAAAATTTAAACTTAGTTATAAGTTTCAAAAAGAAAGTTTAACTTTGAAATTTTTTTCAAACAAAATTGCTTCACACCTGATTCTCTACAGGTAACACACAATCAGCAAACCTACTTAGTTGGTGAGTGGCCAAGGCTGCATTATATGGAGATATAACCACATCATCCTCTCTGGATGGATAAACTGGTACTACAAACCTGAAAAGGGTGACAAATATAAGCTAAGAACAAAACTATCTAGTCATATGAAATGTAACCCATCACACAAGATGAATAAAGTACATTTTAATCTCCAAATTTACTCCCATAAAATGTCACTCATCACAATGAGTTATATCATTAGCGCTTGTAAGCTTACGGTCTATACAAAATGGTAAGGTTTTCTATCAATGCACAGTAAAAGACATTTCGAGCTTAAAATTAAGAATTTTCACAGCCAGTTTCATAACACTGTAATTGCTATATACTAATTTGAAACAGGAAAAAATTAATTAATTGCACTGAAAATTCCACATCAAAGCACTGACAACACATATCTGCCCCTAAAACAACACTAACTTTGTAAAGTAATTTCAATTACAATAGGTAAATATCATCATGGCTAAAACATCAAAATTGGATTACTTTAAATTTTGTTTCTAATTCTCACATTTTCTTCATAGAATTGAGTTTTTTTTTCGGCACTATATTCAAAAAATAAAATATAATTTATCATACAAACAGATCTACTACAACACATCACAAAAGAATCAATAAATGACATGCCATGCAAAAATATTTTGAAAATGAGAGTTAACAGCCACACTTGTAAAACAAGTGCACATACATTTTTGTTGTACATTACAGTAGAAAAATCACCTTTGCACCGAAGGAAATTCTTCAGACAAATTGGAAAGAACAGATGTTCCCATACCAGATCCAGTTCCTGGAAAAGTACAGAAACTTCATAAGTATCAAACAGTCAATAATTGGTCTAGCAACATAAATCTACTTATATCAAGTTTCTTTAACTATGTTGTATGTTAAACATGTTGGGTGTTTCTTTTTCTTCTTTAGTTTACAAACAGATGATCATTTTGTGTTCAGGTAATATTTTCACATATACACATGCTAAATTTCTATGTATAGAAAGACCATTTTTGTAATGTATTTAACTTCCTACTGTCTAAATATGCAATGCCATAGACTGATCCCCTCTTGTACTGCTGATTTCTCCCATAAAAAAAAAAGAGTCAATGCAAACCTATCATGTAGTTTTTCAAGTGTGAATCATACTGTGTAGGCTCTTAATAGTACCTTAAGGCTATGTATTCCCTATTTTAACTAATGGTTCAGTCTCTTTCTTCCAACCCAATCAAATCAGAAATTCAGTTTTAACCTCACACAGCATTTTCTACTGTTCATCATGCTATAGTAGTAACTATTCTTATCTGAGAGGTATTCAGTGCACTTGAGAATACTACAGAGTAAGGTGCTGAGATTAAATTTTGGTGTTGTGACCATGGGATTTGTTCTAGCATTCTTTTCTATTTTTCTTGACAGGTGTACTTTTCAGTGGAAATGTAAATTTTTACATTTCAGAGGACTTAAGAATAGACTAAGGAAAGAAAACTGTAGCATATGAAAAGTTCAAGGCTCAAAATAGTAGTCCTTTGGAGAACTTATCTGCTTATGTGGATGACTTATGTTACCCATAAACTAAGGCATATCCCATCATGGTATATGAAGACTGCAATGATGTCCTCATAAGTTCATGGAAGTATTATCAAGTGAAACAATGTGGCATCATCTTCATGTAAGAGACATCAAAATTCTAAATATGCTGTATCTGTGACAACTAAGTTTGAATTGGTAACTCCAAGCAAGTTTCATGGGAGGAAGAAGCCTGTAAATACTGTAATATATTAGCAAGATTGTCCCTTGCGATGACTACACTGTGAAAAGCTTGTGTTCCATCATATGCTACCTAGTCACAGACACATCCTTGCACCTTCACACACAGACACACTGAATAGCAATGATTGGGCCGGGCTTTCCTTGATGACTATACCATGGCAAATACTGATAATACCTTTCCCCATATGGTACTCTGAACAGGAGGTTCAAAGCACCTGCTTTGGTTAAGGGCTGGAAGGCTGCTATTAATAAAATTGCTATACATATATATGTGTGTGTATATGATTGGATTTCATAGTTAAAATTTAAAATGATAGGAGAACAAGCCTAAAATAGAGAAGAAAAAATGTTGTATATGTAGCATACAACTTGTATATTTTCCTTTTTAAATTACTGTATTTTTATGCAAATAACCCACAGGATATATATTAAATTGGTATTTAAAATGCCAACTGCAGGATATACCCGCATGCAGGTAATATGTTTTGTTTTTTTTGGTTTTAAGACTGCAATTGCCAAATGTTTAGTTTATGTTGTTCATGTTCAACATGTGATGCAATTCATCAACTGGCCACTAGTACATCTGTTAATAATCCCAGTTGTTTTCTGGTCAAAGGACAAAGTATAAATATGAATACTTTGGACTGTATTTATCAGCATCTGACTATATTACAATTGAATTTAATAAATTGCTCATGTATTCCAAGACAAGTAGGTTTCACGTTCAGTGTGTCTCATAGCATCATCATAACTTTTAACCTGTGATTGGCTTCCCCACATGACATAACCATAGGGGATTGAGGTAAATTATCAACGAGATACAATCTTTTTTGGTAACTTTAATTGTAATATCTTTAATAACAGTTCTTTTGCAGATGTTACATGCATGTATCTCATTTGATATGAAATAACTAAATGACTAAATAACAAACAATACAGTTTCTTCCTGAATAAGTAAAGCTCTCATCACACAACATGTAGCAACAAAAGGAAATTAAATCTTCTTTCGTAAAGCATTCAAAGTGTCCCTGTGATGCAGCTGCAGCAGCTCTGAGTCGGCAAGTGTAGGTGTGTTGCAATCCACATCATCATCACTTGTCCTCCTCTTCTCCAGAAATCAGCCCACTCTTCTTAAAAGCATTCAAATGGTTGATATTTTGACAGCATTCCATGCCTCTACAAGCCAATGCCAAACTTTGGCATAGCTGGCCTTTTTCATTTTCCCAGAGGCAGGCCCCCATCATCCATATCTCCCAAAATTTGCAGATATTCAGTTTGAACACACTGTTTATAGTGAGGTCAAAACTGCAGTATCACGGCTGTTTCAGTGTCAATTTTTTTCTTATTGGCTGACGTAGGTTCAAATACCAGGAGTGTTTTCTTTTTGATGAAGAAGGTCCCTGGCCACAACTGCCAGCAGTTTTCAGCCCACTCTTCAATTTCATCCTCATTCATCCAACCCTTTTTGTTTGCCCTGACAAAAAGGCCAGTGGTGAAGTTCTCTTTGGGTGGTGTTTTTCTTTTGAAAATGACCGTCGGCTTGACTTGGTCCCATCAGCGAGGCAGGATAGTATAGCAGTGAAATTTGTTTTTTCATGTCCTGTAGTCATGATGCTGATAATAAATGAGTTTTTTGTTTCAAAAGCCCTTGATAGCAGCACATCATAACTAATGAGCACCTCGTTCATGTTACCAAGGAAATATAGAATATGGATATCTAAATCTGCCTTCTACTTTTCAAGAAACTCCAAGAAGCTTTCCACTTTATGTTCCCAGTCCACAGGTAGCTTTTGGCCAACAGACATCCTGGCTCTAATAGATAGTCTGTTTTGTTTCATGAATTTGAAACACCATGAAGGTCCTCCTGTAAAATTGGCAATACCCATCTGCTTGGCCATTTGATGTGCTCAAAGGCATATGAGAGACGAGGATACTGAATGGCCCCACATCTCTTTGTGATAAAATCCAAACCTTCAGATCTTCTTCCAATGTTGGCCACTCTGCACCTCCACCCCCTCATGCCTTGTTTAGTTTTAGTATTTCTTTTAATTTTTGCTGTTGTTTCCCCTACTCTCACACAGATTTTTCACCCACTTCAAACACTTGACAAGCCTCTTTGTTGCCAAGTTCTTCTGCATACTGAGAAATTTTCAGTTTGAATTTGGCCATGTAAATTTTACATTTTCTCTTCCTAGTATTGATAGCAGACATCGTACATCGGTAATTTTTATAATGATTTATAATAATCTGGACAAATTCATAAAATGGTATAAAATTCAACAGCCAACATGGTGAATTTAATTGAATGGACAGCAATTGACTGTTATAGAAACACAAGTATAGAGGACCACATTTTAACTGTCTTCTGCCTTTCATCTTTAGGTCATTGTGTGTGTGTGTGTGTGTGGGTGGTGTTGTCAGTCTTTATATATTCTGGTGGATGTGTTCTGTTTGGATTATTTATCTGTGTTTCTGATTGGTTGAAAGACTTCCTATAGATTCGACCAATGGCAGCCACAGATTACTCACTTCTAATCTGGAATCTTTGTTTAGTGAAGGTTTTTATTGTATTACCATAATGTAAAAAGATTCTTTAATTTTTCTTGTTTTCCAAAATGTGTCTGTATCACTGACTTCCAGGGTATACACGAGTGAGGGTAATATATGGCCGAAAGTTTCTTAGAGCACTTTTTTCCTCAGGTGTAGGGTATACCAAGGGCAGATTATTTACGTGAAAATACGGTGGACAAGTGTACATTTCATGGTCACCTAAAATGTTCAAATTTCCTTATATACATGTTCAGGTGCAAGCATAGATTTAATATAAAGAAAGACCATTTCAGAAATGTGTGACACATAGTTACATGTTGCCATATGTCATTCTCCTTTAGTGTTGTTCAACTCTCCCACAGAAAGTGTCACTGAAGATCTATATGGTATCATATAGCTTTCTCCTATTTTAGCTCATGGAATGACCAAATGATTTGAGTAACTAGTGCATTCTGGAAGAGATGACCTATTGTGTTCTTTATTTGGTTTACTTAATATTCAGTTGCCTTATTTCAATTAATTCAAGTCAAAAATTCAGTTCTAATCACACAAATTTGGATGGGTCAAAGCACACACGTCATGACCTTTTTACACTTACAATCAAAAAATAATTATCAATGAATGTCATTAAGCTTGACATCAAAATGTAGATTATAATTCAAATTTTAATATGAGTTTTAATTTCTTAATTTCAAAAGTAAATATTTAAATAAATTTTTAATCTTTATTTATCTGTATCATACAACACTTCTTAGCTCCAAATTACCCAGTCTAGCTATCTTTTCCACCCCTATATAATTTTGTGAGTTTTCAAGGAATTACACTCTGACATGTTATATATACCGGAGCTAAAATGTAATTTATTGCCTCTAAGCTTGTTACTTTAGTGAGATATATGCAATAAGATGAAACCCACATGCCTTGCCACTCTTAGCACATTCCGTTTTTCAAAAAATGTTAATAATTCTCTCTGACATTTGCTGTTAGATTATTTCAGCCAATATAAAGAGAAGATTCCAATTTTCTGAATGCTAGAAAAGTTCAGGTGACAGGTTTTGAGAAAGCAATTTGAACAGACATTGGAATTATTTAACATATTTATATCCTAGTTAGAAAGCCAGTTAAATTATAGAAGTTTTAGTACATTTTATTTTTCCTGCATGGCAATATTTTGCATTATAAGTCAAATATTTGGACATAAAAATAATCTGTCAGACAAGCCTAAGGTTACAAACTAATAGGTCTAGGATGCAAAGATAAGGGTACAGAAGTTTGAAAATATTTCTAAATGTAAGCACTAAATTTCTTGTTCTTAATGTGTATTTTTCATTTATTGTTAGAAATGTAACTAAAATATAAAAAATTAGAAATTTATTAGGTTAGATATCCAAACTTAAATAAAAAAATACTCATGATAGTATGTGCATGTCATGAGCTTGAGTGCATAATTTGACATGTAACTTGATCTTTGTGTAATTA